ATAAAAGAAAAGTTTTAATCGCTTATGATATGACTAAAGTACAAATAAAATAGTTGGTTATTTATAAAGATTATTTATTTTTCAGTTTTATTATTAATTTATCAATCATGTATTTTTAGGGATACATAATAACAAAGGAAATGGTGCTGGGAAATGTTAAAGTTAGAAATGTTATTGTAAATCTTGGGAATAAATTCATTCAATCTATAAAAGAAGATTGTAGTGGTAATGTAACATTGAATTTACCAACTGTTAAAAGAGATAATGTATGAATATACTTATTTATTAAACTTATAAATTAAAATGACAATTTAACCAATTGTATAAGTTATTATATGCGTAATATACGCTCAGACATCGATTCGAACCTGGCCTCTGGCAGTTTCTCTCTTTGAACAGGGGACGATTGTTTCAAGAAAAGAAATTGCTTCCCCTCCCCTAATACATAAAGTAAATTTTCAAGAAAATTTCCCAAATGCTAAAATCTATTAAAAAAATAGTAAACAGTTATTTTAAAGTTAAAATTTAATTCATAGACTATAGTTATCAAAGGACCTGAAGATGATGTTAAAAATGTTATTACACAAATTCAGACAATGGTTGATGAAGTTCATAAATATGTGTTTCAATTGAAAGTAAATCCGAAGTTTCACAAATATTTAATTGAAACAAATGGAGTTAATGTTAAAAAGGTATGTTGTTAAAATAATTTAGTATAAGGGTAAAATGAGTTAATTTATGATTTTATACTTGGATTCCAAATCAGATATTTAACGAATACAAGAATAATTTTCCCTCCTGAAACTGATTCCACTAATGAAAATATAACTATTGCTGTTAAAAAAAGAGAATGTTAATGAAGCAAAAGCAAAATTTGAAGTTATGGTAACCGATATTAATAATGTTATCGAAAAACATGTAGAAATCAATGAAAAATATTATGGCACTTTAGAGGTCAATCAAAAAGAATATTTACACAAATTGGAAAAAGAATGTGGCGATGTTAAAATTGAATTTTCTAAACTTGGTGCTAGAGATAGGGTTGTGATCAGTGATAGCAAAGCAGATGTTGCTCTTGATAAACAAAGACTTTTAGACCATGCTAAAGTTTTGGTATGTATAATTCAATACAAATGCACACGTATTAAACTAACTTGTCTATTTTTTATTGAAATTGTATTGAGGTTATATTTACATAATTGTTCATAGTTTTCTTTACAATAATGAACTATTGATATATAACTCATATAAAATGAAATAACTTAAGATAAAACAGTTAAAATAATCATTGATGTACTTATAGGTATATAAATACAACTATATAGGTTAACCATATAATCATTAACAATTTTGATTTAGGAAAATACTATTCGAGCTGTAGTAAATGTTGATCCAAAGTATCATAATTACTTTGTTGGAAGACATGGTGAAATTATCAATCAAATTATTAATGATTGCATTGAAGTGTCTATAACATTTCTGAAAATAGCTTTTAGTAATAGTGCTGTTACCATAAAAGGTGATAAAATAAATGTTAAAGAGGCGAAACGTAAGATTGAAGAAATTGTTAAAGACTTGGTTAGTATTTACTATACAAATATTTTTATTTATAGTTATTGAATTATCAAATTCATAAAAATAACCTATGACTAACAGTTATTACATAAAAAATAATTAAACCTTTATTATCTTTTAATTTATTTAAATAATAGATATACGAGAATCATAATACAATAATAATAATAATTATAATCTCGTAATACATTAAAATGTTATAGAAAAACATAATTGAAGTCACTATGAACGTTTCTCCAAAATATCATCATCATCTTGTTGCCCACCATGCTGAAGTAATAAGCCAGATAAGTGGGAAACATAATGGAGTTACTGTTATATTTCCACAAGTTACTTCTAATTCTATTAAAATTTTGATTAAGGGCCACAAGGATTATGTTGAAAAAGTCAAAAATGAAATCAATAATATTATTATTGACTTGGTAAGTTGTATACTAACACTTATTGTTTTATCGTTAAATTATTAATCAATAATCGTGTTACACATCGGCGTAGCAGTAGTGTAGTAGGTGTGACGCACCAAGGCTTTCGTGATTTGGGGCCCTCAATTCAAATGAAAACTGATATGAACAAAAATAGAAGCTTGCGTTAACTACAACCAAATGTTTGTTTTGATTTTTGGTAGAAATAAATAATGAAAACATTTTTTTTTTTTTCAAAATCTTATCAACGACTTTTACTGTTAGATAATTGTCAAAATAATTAAACTAATAAATTGAAATGTAATTATAATAAAATAAAATATATTAAATACGATAAACTCAATATAAAAATTACTATATTAACAAATTTATTGTTAATTGTTGATTATGTTTTTTTAGTATTTTGGGTTTGGCCTCTTCCATTTTGAAATCTTGGCTATGCTACTGAAAGATAATATTCTTTATTACATAAAGTGAACTAAACTAAGTAGTCATAAATATTTTTATTCCATATTAATTGATGTAAAAAATAGAGGAGGATTATTAAAGATTTCTAATAGTGTTTTTAAATATGACTTAAATACATTGGAAATTTGTTAATCAAACTGACTTGCTATTTTACTTCTATTATATCTATATTATTATTATTATTATTATTATTATTATTATTTCTGAAAGGGATATACAAATACTATACAAGTATTATTTTTATAAAATACCTTAAATTGTTGTTTTCATGCCTGAAAGAAAATCGTCAAATATTGTATCTATGATACATATAAAAATATAATAAATTTTGGATTATCTGTGGTTGACATGACTCTTCGATTTTCCAAACCTTGTTCTAGTTTTTAGAATTATTTATAAAATTGTAAAAACTCAAAGGCCTTTCGTTGATTTACCAAATTAAATAGATAATAGATTAACAAGTTTTAAATGGTACGAATATGGAAAACATTTTACACTCTGATAAAACGTCTGTGGATTTAGCACTTTTTTTAGCACTATGTATCAGAGATGAAAAAAAATGATTTGCCAAAATATAATTTTAACTAAAACAGTATAAAATAGTAGGTAAAACTTATAAAAAAGGCTTAGTATTTCAGGAAAGGGAAAAAATAATTTTGGTTTGCGTTTTGCGTTTATAATTTGCGTTTTGATACGACTTAGCATCATTTTTTTGTAGAGTTTGTAGGTGTGGTATAATAGGGATAGAGGTTTATTGCTTTTCGGATTGCTTAGATCTTTGTCCGGTTTAGGAAGTGCCATTACTTAAGCTTTCCTCTACATTTTTGGTATAGATTTCTTTTGTAGGAAACCATTTAGTACTTTGAGAAGTCAATTCTTAGTTTCGATTACGAAATGTTTAATTTGTTCTGTAATGATCTCGTCATATCCTGCCGCTTTCCCGTTCTTCATTTCTCGTAAACTGTTACTTAGCTCCTCCATCGTAAAGTCATCCTGGATGTTATGACATTCTATATTTTAGTTTCCCATTACGAAGTAGTTCTGAGGTTACCTGGTTTGCCGTAACATTTATACAGGATATTTGTACTGTTTGGTCTCCGTTTAATTTCTTTATTAGTCCCCAGGCTTTTTTACTGGTTTTTGTCATGTCGATGTTTTCTATTGTTTCATGCCATTTCTTGTTTTTCTCGGCATATAAAAGTTGGGAATATTATATTAATTATTTTATTATATTAAAATTGAAACTAAATTCAATGAAGCAGAAAACCATTACAGATTTCTTCAAAAAATAATAGTTTTTTATAATAATAATTTAATTTACATAATATAATTATTATATAATTAAAACTTAAATTTTAAAAACAATAAATAACTAATACCAATTAATTTGCTGAAATAATTAATAATTATGTACAATAATAAAAACAACATTTTCTTCTTAACTCAGTAATTCGAATTTTTTTTTATTACTCAATATAAAATATTATTATATATATATAATTAAACTGTCAATTTTAAGAACGTGCGACACTGACACATATATAAATGAAAATACGACTACATATAGTTAATTAAACTACATACATTGAGTAAAAAAATTGCAGTCGGCATTTTTCATATTATTCACCCCCCCCCCTTAGATTTTCATCTTCGGACGCCCCTGATTAAAACCATATACATTAGACGCTAAAGGTAATATTGTTTTACGGGAATGATCGGAATTTAAATAATTCAGATAAATTTGCGATTTATACATCACCACTTTATTTCACCTGAAGCTAACGTACTAGTTACTTTAGAATATTTAAAATGTTCTAAAACTAACAGTGGTTTAAGATAGCTGGAAACCCGCGAGCCGCCGTACTGTTGCCGCACAATACGTATTGGTGATGAAGAATTATAATTGATAATTACTCCACTTAAACGCAATATTTTTTAAAATCATTTCTTAGTGCACGGTAAAAATATGAGAAGAACCTCAAATTTCAAGATCGTACATTGCGTAGTTTTTGAGTTACAGCGATCAGTGACTAAGTGGTATTTAGATTTTATATATATGTATAAATATAAATTAAACATAAGAAATATTTATGCACATTTTGTTGAACTAATATTATTTCTTGAAAATTACGTTAATAATTGTAAAATGTATGTTATATTTTCAATTAAAATTTGGCATGACACGATTTCATGACAAACTAATTATCCTTAGCTGTTACTTTAATAATTGGGTTTAGAAAGTGGTGGCTCTATCTAGCTTTATTTCAATGCTTTTCCAAATTATCTTAGCCCTTATCTTTTCTGCAAAATGCCTAATGTTTTTAAAGCCAAGCTTATTATCACGTTTGATTTTTGATAAAATAATACTCGTTCATTTTTTATTTATTATATTGTGTAAAATACGGTTATTTATTAATCAGTAATAAAATAACAAAATTAAAAAAACAAAAAAATAAAAATAAAAAATAAATGCATTAACTTTCAAATATAATTTTCATACCATTTCTCATTCAATATTTATTTATTTCAATAATATACTACTATTCATAATAAGAATTATTAGAATTGCTTTTCAAAATAAATTATTTTCTAATTTGAATTGTTATTAATATGGCAAATCCACCCAGTAAGCCCCCAAGGGGCATTAAAACTCCAAAGGAAACTGTAAGTAAAAAATTGTGTTCCATTTATTTGAAGTATTAATATTATGTTTAAATAATGTATAAATTGTTTAACTCTACTAGCTCTTTTATCATTGTTTATAATTTGGATTTATTAAATTTTTAACTATAATTTTTTTACATCTTTAGAGTGGATTATTAATGACAATGATACGTGCTCTATCTGCAACTGAATCTAATGAACATCGTGAAATTGAAAAAACTGCTTTAGAGAGAGAATACAAACGATGTGATCAAAAATTAGAAGAATTGATCTCCATGGAGCATCAAAATCTTGCCCGTGTAATGCATTTATTTACATCAGTGTCTAGCGAAATTAATTCATCTAGAGAACGAGTTCAAGCAGCAAAACGGAAACTTATTGCATGTAAAACATTATTACGATGTAAGCGAGATGAATTAAGAAAATTTTATGTTGAAAGTATTGAACAACATCACATGCTTACTCAATTAACTCAAATGTAAGTTGACAATATCATTCAGTTAATTGTGTTTCTTCTTCCTTGTCTTTCTTCTAACTATTTAGGGTCGGCCACCTTTATCCTAAACCTCCATTTGTCTCGATTTTTTTATCCCTTACACACACACCAATAGCCTTCATATTATTCTCAACCATATTTTTTGTTCTTCCTCTTCTTTTGTATATACATTTCTAATGTATAATATCTTTTTAATTGTAATTACTTGTTAGAGAACAAATAAAAGAAGTACCTTTTCAATTGAATATGTTGGAGTCAAAAAAACAATATTTACAATGTACTAAATTGTTGATGGAAACATTACATATTAGTAATAATGATTTGAAGAATATAGATGCATTAAATGAATTAAGAATTGAACTGAAACACAAAAAACAAGTAATATGGTTTATACCAATAGTCATATTTTTATTTGTTGTGGTATTTAGATTTTAGTGGTTAAAAAAAAAAAAAAATATTTATAAATTTATTGATTTATGTAATTTATAACTTATGTTATATCAGATTCAATTTAATGTGTACAGTATAAACTGTACACGTTGGGATCTAATCCATTTGTCTATTTTAAGCGGTTGGTTACATTATAAACCAAACTTAGTTCCAAAATACCACCATTTTTAATATAAAAATATTTTTATTTTGCACATGTGAATCATAAAATTAGAAATAAATGTTAATTTATTTTATAGATAAATAAATGTACAAAATAATAATGAATAATTTGATATTGGAACACATAATTTTTCAGTGATTTTTGTTAAGTGCCTGGTGGAAGGGACTTCACTTTGTCTAAAATCGCGATTTTTTTCTTGAAAGATCTTTTCTAGATATAATCGAAAGTGTTCATGATTATGTTGAAATTCATGGTAAAAATGAAATGTCTCTTATTGAGCTAGAGAAAGAAAGCTATTTTTTTATTGCTTTCGATAACACTTCTATATAATCATTTAAATTTACAACAAAATCCTATTAAGGTTTAAAAGTTAACAATTTTTATTACTTTTGATAAACATAATTTAATAGTTACAACGAAAAATTTACACATTCAAAAGTTTATACTTATACTAACATTATGAAAAAAAAATATTTCCCATAAAAATCAAACTGAGAGCTCATATTATATGATTTTTTTTTCAACATTGTTAGTACACATTGGATTTAAAACCTGACCACATTAGGTGGAATTTTCTGTGTTTATATAGATGATTACATTTAATGATTAATAGGTAAATTACAAATTAATATTTTCAAACATCTCATTAAATAATTTGTGTAATAAGAGTATTTGTAAAAATATCTTATATTTTTTTAATATCATCTATTTCAATATAATTTGATTCATCAATATATTTTTTATAATATATTTTGTAAATAGTATGGTAATTGTTAAAGAAGTTAAAAAAAGGATAGACCATACTGATTAATTACATTATAATTGTCTTGCTTAAGTATTAATTATTAATAAATGTTGGGTTACTAGGATTTGTACAATAAACTATTGGATGATTTAATGAATCATATTTATGTAATTTCACCACAATCTGCAAAATCATTTCGTCGCGTAGGATCAGATGGATATAATTCCTCATTTGGACAAAGTACAAGAAGGGTATTGAAATATACACCACAAATTGCACCCAAGTAAAGTTATATATAATTTTAATTTTCTTTAAATTTGTATTTCTTATTATTTATTTATTATAGAGAAATTTCAAATGAAAATAATGAGACTGAAATCACTGAACTTGATACTGAAAAATTTGTCCCCATAGCTGTTGAGTGCCTTGCTATACTTATTAAGTTAAATGATACAATTGAAGTATGTTAATACGTTTATTTGATTTAATTAGTTTAAATTACAAATAGTATGTATGTAATAAAATGTATTAAACTGAATTTTTAGAAATTGAAATCTACTATGCAAACACAGTTAGTAGAAATTGTTGAAAAAACAACAAAACAAATATCAATAACAAATCAATCAAGAAATGTAGGAGAACAATTAGTGACATTAGTAAATGGTGTAATTTTACAATTTTATTCAGTTGTTGATGCACATCAACTTTTTTTAAGCAGTTTAGATAAAGTAGTTGATCAACAACTAATCACCAATATCAACAAATATGATCTTAAATATGTTTGGGAAAATATTGAGTCCATTGTAAGCAAAATATTCAAACAATTGTTTGTTATATATGGTCATTAGTATTTATTTTATAAAATTAAATCCAACTAAAACAAAAAAATTACTATGTTATTGTTTTGCAGTAAATTAAAATTTAAGGTTAACTTAATTTGGATTCATTGTTTTCCTTCTTTTAGGTACAAATATTTTTAAGTAATTATTTGGATGTAAATAGTCATTCAGATTTAATTGTAAAATCTACTCCAATTTTTAGTAATATTGATTTGAATGTATTTTTTTCAAAAAAAAAAGTTCAAAGGTAATTGAGTACCAATTTTATATGAATACAAATTATTTTATTTTATTTTGTTTGTAGACCTAAACAGTGTCTTTTTAAATTTTCAAATGCTTTGGAAATGTCTTCTGATTTATTGGATGTAAGTATTTACTATTTGTTATTTAATATAACTGAATAAAATAAATACTATTTAATTTTTAAAATTTGAATAAAATTGTATTCAGTTTTGAAACAAAACAAAATTATATCTTTTCGTTAGGTACCAAAATTATTTTATTTTAATGCTAATTGGTTTCTAAAATTTATATATTTTATTAAAAATTATGATTTGATGTATTTTAGAGACCTTTTACCAGTATAACTCAACCTCAGTCAATGATTTGTACACCAAGTTCAGACAATATTATATATATTTATGAGCCACTCATAATGTTCATACAACAAATCGAACAATCTATAAACACGTAAAATATTTGATATTAATTTTTAATATAAAATTAAATAACAATGTATTAATAATCAGGTTTAAAATATTAACAGAAGGTATACTTAATTAAATCTATCTTAATCTAGAAGGTTATTTAATATATCAATAATTTGAATGTCAAAGAGTATAATTAAAAAACTTTATATTGGCATAATTGTAATTGGATCTTTAATTTACTATTTTCTTCTGTTTTTTTTTTAAACTTTTTAAAGATTATTTATTCCAAATCAATATGACAGTAAAAGAAAAAGATTTTTAATTAAAAAATGAATTGATTTTTTTACAGAAACACTTGTACATTAAATTTATGGCTTAATGAATATATTCGAACTGTTTTTCTTGATCGTCAACACAGTAAAGTAGCTACTACTGTTGAATCAATTACCAAACAAGTTGATGCTTGGCATGCTATTACTACACCAGAACAAATTCAAGATTTAAATGTTTCTAGACCATTGTTAGCTGTAAATAATAAAATAATAGTAAATTTAAATTTATTTAATTGATAATTCATATAACATTTTTTTAGAGTACAGTAAATATATGGAATAACATATGCCAAATAAAAAAGTTGGTTATAACTATGCCTGAATATGCATCACATTTCTTAATGATTATGGTTAGCATTAGTAGAAGCTATAAAGAGACATGTGATAGCTTTTTTTCTTCTAATATTAAAGCATGCGATAACACCACTAAATTAGTGAGTCATCTATGGATTCAAAAACATGATTTAGTTGATTATCTTAAGTAAGAATATAAATTAATTATAATCTAATAATATATACATTTTATAGATATTAAAATAAAAAATATTGTTTTAGACAATCCCATAACTGGGTAAGAAGAGAATATGAAAATAAATCAAAAAAAAGTTCAACAGATGAACTAAAACGATATACTCAAGAAGCAGATAAGTTGTTTGAAAATTTGGAAGGAAATGATTTTAGAGTAACAAGTGTTTCAGATATAAATCAGCTTAGATGTTTGGCACATCTTTTGGAAAGCATGGCATGTGTTGATATTTTATGAAATTATTTTAGAATTTAATAAATTTTAATGGTAATTTCTCATTTGTTTATTTAATATAGGAGTGGATTGGAAAAAAATTAAACGAGATTTCAAACCCAGAATCGAATCAGTATTTAGTTCCTAAATTGAATACTTCCAAAATAGACAACAATAATTTACCATTAGCTTTAGTTGAAACTTTACAACAATTGGGTAAAGATTTTTTAGATATTTCTGATAGTATCCTTTTGTATCTTTATTTGGAAGTAAGTATCATTAAATACCATCTGTGATTTTAAATGTACTCAGTAAATTTATGTGTATATAATTTAAAATATTTTAGATTCGTGCTCAAAGTATTTATTACTTATTACCTGGTTTTGAATCAGCTATTGGAAATACAATAGAACCTAAAGTTTTGGATCTCAATCAATCTGTATCGGCTTTACACGAGGCTATGTTAAATGCAATTTCCAAGAGCAAGGCTCATTATATTTTTGAAGGACTAGGTGAAGTGATTTCTAAAAGTTTAGTAAATCAAACTCGCAGTATAGAAATTGTTGATGAAATTGCAATAAGAAAAATAATACGTGATATTACAATGCTAAAATATAACATAACTGCTATGTTAGGTGCATCACAAGTAACTTTAGAAAAAACTGTTCATTATTATGAATTGTTACTTTGTACCCCAAAGGTAAGTAAAAGAAATATTTTAAAATTATTCAAACCTAAATTTCTATTTTTCTAATACAATTGTCTTATGTTTATAGGAAATATTGGAAGAGATCTTGGAGAAAGGTGCTGAATATAGTGAAACTGAGTATATGAACTTGTTACAAATTGTTCATAGAAGCAATAAAAACACAGAAGAAACAGTTAGTTTGCAGAATGATTTAAAAAGGTTATCTGATATTTTATCTCAGATTAAACCTATACATTTATAGTTTAATAATTTTACTCTCCAAAAGTATACAAAAACTATATTTTTGTAATTAAATAAAAAATAATTGTTTACCTGTTTAGTATTTATTAAATGAAGTAAATATATCATTGTTACATATTTTATTATTTTAATATATAAATTGTAACTTAACCTTACAATATTTTATAATGCACTAATATTATTAATTACTTGTATAAAAATATTTATTGAATATATTTCTATTAAATTTGTTTTAAAACCATTCTGTATTGTATTTTTAATTTTCGTAATTTTATTTTATATATTATTAAAAAAAAAAAAAAAATTACTTGTTAAAAATTTACATTTTTTCTAAGTAGGTTCTAATATAAATTAAAATGTACTATATTGTTGCGTATGATTTTGAACAATGTATGTGTTCATTGTTTCACTGAAAAAAATTGGAAAAAATCCAAATTGAACGAAAATAATTTAAGCATTGTCAAAAAGTTCTCTATTTTGAGCTGAATGAGATTCTAACTTGAAAATGTTTTTGTAAAGGGAAGGAAGAATTAAATATGCAAATAAGTCAATGTTCTATTTGAGGTTAATATGAATCTAATTTAAACTCAAATAGACATAAATTCAATTGATATTATACATAAATAAAAATACAATCAAATTTTTTTCTTTCTATTTTAACATAAGTAATGAATAAAATAAAAAACTGAATGGGAAAAGAAACATTACAATCTTGCACGAAAATTAGTGCAGAAGAACCATCAGAATTTAATGAAGTTATTGTGAATGAAGCAATTATTAATATTATTATTATTTTTTAATTATTTGCTCCTATGCTGTACACCCTCCAGAAAATGTATAATATATGAAATGAACACAGCACAGGCCGCAAGCACACAGGTCACAAGTGGATATTTTTTCAAATAGTGATAATTTGTTCTTCGTATTAATTTGAGTTTTGTAGCAACGTTGGATGGATGCAAAATTAATAATTGAAAAAAATGAGAACCACTGGATCACGAGCCACGTTGGAATATTAAAAATTGTTACAGACTTCAGTTCCTTAAGTTTTTTAAAATAGAGATAACATTTTTTTTCTCTGCAGATTTACGTGTTTCCTATCAATTTTTGGTAGCGATTAATAGCTATTACCTATTCAATAATGTGTGTGTAGTGTTTTCGACTGTATATATGTGTCGTTTTATTCTAACGTGATTTTAATTATTTAAAAGTAATTGGTGTCCCTTAAAGGTAAATGCAATTTGATTAATTATTTAATTAAACGTCGTTATTTGTCGTTAGTTACGATTTCGAACAAAATGATTATTTGTTATATGCTCATCTTGGTTTAATTAACTTTGAAAGTTCTAAGTTGTACGTCTTATGTTTCTGAAATAGTCATAATGAAAATCAAGCAGTTCCAAAATACGGTTGTATCAACATGGTCGCCAAAACTAAATTATCCAGTCAATATAGCCATGGGCACTGCTGCCCAACAATTAGATGCTTCATTTAACACATCGTCATCACTAGAGCTATATATGGTTAAGTCTAACAATGTAACGCTCAGTGCATCAATTTCAACAGACTGCCGGTGAGTTAGTTACACCCCCAAGTTTTAACTTTCTTAGAATGGAGAGAGTTAAAGTGTATCTAAAAGCGTAAAAACCAACACTTTTTCTTTACTTAGGTATGTCTGTAACTTATATGAACTATTTTGTGTTTTTATTAAGATTTCATAAATTAGTATGGGGTGGTACTAGTAGCGACGAAGATTGGAGTTCTGGAATTATTGCTGGTGGATGTGACAACGGAGTAATTAGACTATATAATGCATCCAAACTGGCAAAAAATGTTGATAGTGTAGTAGCTAAAAGTGATCGTCATGTTGGATCTGTTAAAGCGTTAAATTTCAATTTATTTCAAGTAATTATACTTTATATTTTTACATGTTAAACATATGTTTTCATCTATCACTTATTTTAAACTTTGACAAAATATTATGCACTATAAAAATATTTTATTAAATGATTAATTATTTAAACATAATTTTTTTTTTAAAATTAACATGTTAAAAAATTTAGTTGTTAACCTCTTGTCAGTGTAGAGTAAGGCCTAAAAAAATTAATTTATTGTTATATAATATTTGTAATATACAATAATGATGTGACTAATAATTTTCTTCTTATTCTATCATGGAAACTTTAATTTTTAGACAAATTTATTTGCATCTGGTGCATCAGAATCAGAAATATTTATTTGGGATTTGCATAGTATGAGTACTCCAATGACTCCAGGATCAAAGTTAGAAACTTTAGAAGACGTAATTGATTTAGCATGGAATAATGAAGGTATTGCTACTAAGCTAAAAAGTATTATAATATTATATAGTATTTACTAAACAGTTAGTTTTTGTGCAATGTATTTTTAATTAATAAATTGTGACTATTATAAACATAAATTGTCTTTGTATCAACTGTAATGATAGTGTGTAATGTTAAATGTATAGGCAAATAATGTGTTATTTAAAGTATAAGTTTAAGTTCTTTTATATATAGTGTTATAATATGCGAAAATGGCAATGTATATAATAAATTAAAGTATGTCCTATAGGCAGAGCCGTGTCAAACATATCAGTGCCTCGGAGCAAAATTTTTCTACGAGACCACTGGGTACAGGTAGCATATTATGTGCTGATAAGGGCATCCCCTTTCTTTTACAAAACTACGGCGCCCGGGGGCAATTGTCCCCTTGATCCCCCTTAATACAGCCCTGCCTATAGGTATACACTATATTTAAATAAGAAAATGAATTATAGTATATTTTATATTAAAACTTGTTGAATAAATATTTTTTTGGAAATTATTTCAGTTCAACATATTTTGGGCTCATTGTTTCATAAGTATACTGTTGTATGGGATCTTCGTAAAAATGAACCTATTATTAAATTATCAGACAATAATTCAAAAGTAATAAACTAAAATTACTTATTATTTTTATTATTATTTTGAAATAAACCAATATTTAAATAGGTAAAATGGAAAGCAATGTCCTGGAATCCTAAAGTAGCAACACAAGTATGCATTGCATCGGAAGATGATCAAAATCCAGTAATTCAACTGTGGGATTTACGATATGCTACTTCACCTGTTAAGAATTTAATGGGACATCAAAAGTAAGTATTTAATTATCTTTTAAGTATTTTATTATTATTATTACTTTTTAAATTTTAATAATTATAATTATATAATTTTTAGGGGTATTTTGGCAATGTCGTGGTGTTCTGAAGATCCTGATTTATTAATAAGTTGTGGAAAAGATAATAAATTACTTATATGGAATCCAAGTAGTGACACAAATGTAACTATTGTATTACTATTATAATTATTTTTTTTAAGTATCTATTTTTGTTTGAAAAAATTTCAAAGTTTTTAAAATATGAATAAATTAATAGAGGTGCTAGACTATGTTTGATATCTTTATTTGCTGTATGGTAAGCACACACATACATCATGATTTATTCCAACATATATTTAGTGTGAAAGCATTGATATATACTGTAAAATATTATGCTTAAAGTATTTTAAACTTATGAATATGCATTTTTTTTTTTTTAGGAAAATTTATTAGTATGTGAAATAGAACATAACTATCAATGGAATTTTGAAGTAAATTGGTGCCCAAAAGATCCATTGTTGTTAGCTACATCTAGTTTTGATGGACAAACTACTATTTATTCATTAAATGATCTACAAAAATTTGAAGGCCAGGTAATAATTTTCCATTATAGGCCTATTTGTTTTATTAAGTATATAAGCTTCTTAAGAACCTATAAAAAAAACTAAATATAAACCTTTTTTTTAATTTTTTTGGTTTGTTGTTTCTAGTTTTTATTTTTAATCTGCTGATGTAACCCAGGCTATTTAATAAAATATTCTTTATCTGCTAATATCTATTTATGTTTTATTTTTTATTTTTTTTTTTTAGGCTAGGACTAATTTTAGTTTTTCTTGACACACCAGTTTTTCTAACTTTCGGTTTGAATTTACAAGGTTTCTATTTTGTGTTTAACCTTTGATTTGTCGTTTGAGGTTTTTTATTTTTTAAAAGTGTTAGATTGTATTATATTATATTACATTGTTATTTCTTTATTCTCTACCTGATCTATTTTATATTCTCGTTTGAGCTTAGCTGTTTTAGAAGATTATCTGTCAAATTTAAACAGAAGAATATATTTTATTTTGCAATAATTAAAATCAATACATTTTATTTTCTAAAATAATAAATTTCTTATAATTTTTAAATAATGTTTATAATACTTAAATATTATGTTTTTTTTTATATTTGTAACATCATCACTAGACTATGTTTTCTGAAAAGGTTATGTAAAAATATTTTCTTTTAAAAATGTATACTAATATTTTTATTTCAATATAGTTATAATTGTTGTCTTATTCGACTAGATTATACTGTAATGTTTTTCTATTACTAGTTATTGTAAAATATAAACGTTAAATTGTTGTTATACAATTTTACATTTTTATCAAAACTTGTTGCAATACTTATTCATTTATTTGGTAATTAAATGTAATATTTATTATTTTATATATTATTTAAGAAAACTAGTGGAAATGGAACAAATGTCAACTCTCAATGTTCAACAGTGCCTAGCTTAACTAATGCTCCAAAATGGCTTCAGAGAAATTGTGGGGCATCATTTGCAGTAAGAAAGATTATTTTAGCTACATATTTAGGACTTTTATTTAAGTACCTATGTATAGTTTGGTGGTCAATTGGTGTCATTTGATGGTTCACTTAAAACAATCCAGTTTAACAAGACGATCATCGAACCTGACTTAGTAATATGGTCTGAACATTTAAAAAAAATCCTGAATAATGGAAATTATGAAGGCTTTTGCCATCATAAAAGTGAATTGACTCCTGATAATGATCTTCAACTTATATGGAAATTCTTAAAATCCATGTTTCAAAATAATTCTAAGGAAACACAATTGGAAATATTGGGATTTTCAACTGAAAAAGTTAGTAATGTAGCTTCTCAGTGTTATAATATTACAAATGGAGTTGAAAATAATTCTGTTAATAATAAGGTAATCAAGAAAATATTTAATTTATATTATTTTTTTAATTTTTAATGAGAAATCTTATTAAATTATATTATAGGCTAATAATGAAGAAGAATTTAATTCAGATTTTATAAATTCTCAAGAACATAAAATTGTAGCAAAATTTGATAACTTTAATCTGAAATCTTCAAGCTCAAATGGTAAAATAAAGTGTTTAAGAGTAAAGTACTTATTATTTATTATATTTGTATTATAAATGTAGATTTACAAGATTCAATTTACCAGTCACTTCTTATCGGAAATTTATCAAAAGCTGCAGATTTATTTTTAGATAATGGAAAACCAGTTGAAGCTATATTGCTTGCTATAACAGCTGGTCCTAAAACATTATCTAGAATACAAAATAAATATCTTAGTGTAAGTGAATATTGAATACCATTATCGATTTTTACATTGTTTAATTAATTACTTTCATAGAACTCAAAAGAACCAACTGCTGCTCTATTATATGCAATTATTACTAATGATTGGAATAATCTGGTTGAAAATTGCAATTTAAATTGTTGGAAAGAAATAATGACAGCCCTTCTTACTCATACCAGTGGAATGGATTTAGTGTCTTATTTTGAAAAACTTGGCAATCGTCTTGCTATTAGTGAGGACCAAAGCTTATCAAAATATGCTCTACTATGTTATATTTGTTCTGGGAATGTTGAAGCTCTAATTAACAATAAAAAGGATATCAAAACAGTTGAAAACTTACAGGAATGTGTAGAAATGGCAATATTGTTGTATAAGTCAAAATTATTATCTAGTGAATCTAGCATAGAAGTTGGAAAAAAATTTTGTGAACTTTTAATGAGATATAGTGAAATTTTAGTTTCCCAAGGTGATCTAGAAGGAGCTTTGAGCTTTTTAGAATTTACAAATAAGGTAAGTAATGGTTTTTAAATTTATTTATATCATAATTACACGTTTATTTTATCATGTAGGATCAATGTGTTGAACTAAAAAATCAGTTATACAAAGCACTCGGGAGAGATGTAGTTGAACAACAAAATAATATTTCACAAGTAATAATAAACTAATTTTTTTAATAAGTGATAAAAAATAGTACAAATAAGTATTTTCTTATTTAATAACTATTTTTAGAAACAATTTAATATTGGAACTCAAGATTTACGGAAATATTCAACATCAAGTGCTACTGGAACTGTAACACCAGAATCACCTTTTCCATCTTACACTAACAAATTTATACAAGATAATGATATTAATCAAATTCACAATCAATCACTTTTGAATTATCCACCCAATATTCAGGCTCAACCAATTTACAATTTAAATAATCAACCACAATCGACATACAACTCTCGAACTATTACACCACAGTTTGGAAATAGTTTTAGTAATCAAATTAATTCAGCTCAAACTAAAACAGTTCCTCCAACACCGCCGCCAGATTCTGGTAGTAGATGTATGACTCCTAGTACTATAAAACCAGGTATAACATATTTTTAAAATATTAAATCATTAACATAATATATTTTTTATTATTTAATTATTTAATGTATGTACTAATATAGTATCCATATAATCCAAATTGTAAAAAATTCATCGATTTCTTCCTTAAAAATGTTCGTACAAAATTATTTGCATGCATTTGACTGAATACTATATCAGTATTTTTTATACTTATAATCTTCTTGGTCTTGGATCATGTGTTGGTTACTATTTAAGTATTTAACTTTCAATCCCTCCCCCTATAATCCATTCTATATAATGTTTATAGAAATTCAAAAATATATTACACTAGTGCTTTTGTCTGTAATATATTCCCTTTGAATGTGACCTAATTATTAATTATAAAGATTTTTTAAATGTAATTATATTAAATAATGCTAATAATAAGTTTTTTTTTAATTTTCAAACAATTTGTTTTTAAATAAGTTCATTTTACAATTTTTATTTTATAAACTTTACTAAACTTGATATATATTTTAATAATTTTTGTTTTAATGTTTTTTTTTTAGGAAGACCCAAATATGTTGTTGATCCTTCTGTAAAAGGAAATAATGTGTATGGTAGTTATAACAATAGCTTAGGAATGCCACCATCTGGTCAACAAAGTGGTTTTAATTCTCATTTGGGACAACCTTATTCCTTAAACCAACCATTAGGACAATTAAGTGGCTTTAATTCACCAGTAGGACTACCACATATTCCAAATCAACCATTTGGGCAACAAAATAATTTAAATCCGCCAATGGGTCAATCACATGTTTCAAATCAACCATTTGGACAACAAAATATTTTTAATCCACCATTAGGACCACCACAAGCTTTAATTTCTCCATTAGGACAACAAAATAGTTTTAATACACCTTTGGGACAGCCAAACATTTTAAATCCATCATTAAAACAGACAAGTAATTTTAATGAACCACTTAATCAAACAAATCAACCAAATATTTATAATCCAGCTTCAGTTCAAACAAATAGTTTTAGTCAACCTAAAACTATTGGTCAATTACCTAATTTAAATCAACAACCAACTTTTCAACCTATTCAAAGTCATATGAATAATTTTTCTCAAGCTGTTTCTCCGTCGCCTAACTTTAACCAGTCATCATCAGTTTACAATCATAGAGCTCCATCAAGTAAAAATATTTATTATGTTCTAATTTATTTATCATAAATATAATATTAATTTTTTTAGCTGAACCATTGCATCCACCTAGTTTGATGAATTACACGAAAAAATCAACTGCTGCTGGTTGGAATGATCCACCAATGTTATCAACTTCTGCTCCAATACAGGTAATAGTATTATTATTATTTTTTTTTTTTTTTAGTTTAAATAAATTGTATAAAAAATTGTCTCTTTTTATTGTTTTAAGTCAGTGTTGTATTTTATTATAAATTAAAATAAAGATTATGAATAAAATTTGGATTATTATGTTTTGTAGAGTCTATAATAATTAAACAATTACAAATCAATCAATGTTATAGATAATTTATTTGGAAATGCATTTTTTTCATTTATAGAGTGTTTGTAATGTAATAGTATCATTATTATATTTAATCAACAGTGGTGTAAAAATAAAATAAAAATGGATTTCATGTATCATTATATTCAAAATATTCAAATCTTTAGTTATATTTTCGAGAATAATTTATATTAATATTTACTTAGATCTTTGAAAATATTCTTTTAAAATATTTCATCTAAATTTTATATTTTAAACACATGTGTATATTTATGTTTGAATGTTCAGAAACCATCTACACCTGTATCAACGGCTCCAATTACGCATCCATTATATACAAATAATCCTGCTCCAATTGAAGAAATGGGAACATATAATCAATTTCAAGGTAGCCATGAAGGACAATATTCAGCCAATAATATAACGCAAGGCGTAGAAGCTTTACCTAAGCAACCTATACCACAAGAACATGTTAGAATTCAAGTGGTATTAGAGGGACTGCAATTAAGATTATTAGAAGCAGCACCCACTCCTGTAAGTAGAAGTTATTTTTATACTCAAGTTTTTTTAATGTATAATACATACTTTAAATTGTTATTGTTTAAATTATGTTTTTTTTTTTTTTAAATAGCAAACCAGAAAACGAGTCTCAGATATCGCTAAGAAATTAGATTTGTTGTATGACTCATTACGAGAAAATTCTGTAAGTAAAAATAACCTTATACATAAGAAATAATACTATTTGAATTTTTGACTTTCTATTTATGGGTGTAATTTAATAATATCTTATATGTAATTTAAACATAAATTCAGGTTTTTTTTAAATACTTTCTATAATAATAATAACAATAAAATAGATTTAGAATACGGTTTGGAATCAATTAAACAGTAGTTTTTGATTAATGCTTGTATTCTTGTTAAAATATTATTTATATATATTTAAAGAATTATCTGTTATGGAGAGAATGAAAAAAAAATAAAATTTTCTCTTCAAATTAATGAATTGGTCTGCTATTGCCTAATTGTATATAGTTATCAAGTTAGAAAATAAAACTTTTGCATCAAAAACTATTGTTCAAACAATTAAATTATTGTTATTAAACAACTTTTAATTTCATTGATTTAAAATCTATGAATATGTAACAAACCATATACAAATGTTCTGGGGCTTTATGTTGGCCACAGTTTCTACTCAACTTAATACTTCTTTAAAATATAAAATGTAAATTTTATGAAGGTAATATTTATACTTCTAATAAATAATTATTTATTCATTGTTGACTAATATTTACCATCTATGTGTTACAGCTATCTTCGTATATGATTCAATGTCTTCATGCAATGATTGATCTCGTACTAAAGCGAGATTACAATGGTGCTTTCAATTTGCATATGCAACTGGTTTCAGGACCGGAATTCTCAAAAATATCAACCTTTATGCCTTCAATAAAAGCTCTTTTTCAAATGGCTTATCAATATAATATTAGTCTCGAAGGAATTAATTAATATTAATATAATGTAATCAACATTGTTATTTAGATGAAAGGAAAAATTATATTTATATATATATATATATATACATATTTATATTAACATTGTAATAAGTTAATATTTATTTATAAATTATTATACTGGTGGTTAATGCAAATGATTTAATTTACATGTTTAAATTTATGTAATGTTTTAAATGTGAATACATTATTTATTTTGTTTAAAAAAAAAACTATTTAAAGATGATTGTTTCATGCCCTGATTGGAACTTAATTTGGGTTGTTTGGTTTTATTTTTTTTCTTATCAATATGTCCTGATTCATCGAGTTTCATTTTTTTCTTACTCGGTTCACTGTTAAACTCTTTTAATTTTGCATCTTCAACAATTACATCAGTTTTTGAAGAAGGTTCACATACAGTTTCAACTATATTAACTTCTTTTGTAGTGCCTAAAAAATGTCATTGATTAAATATTTCATAGTTGTAATTCTATAAATGAACTTACATATAAAACCTTCATCATCGACAAATGTAGAAGTGGTTATTTGTTTTTCTTTTTTTCGATTTTCTCTTACTGTAGAGCGTGGTGGAGTAGGTTGAACCAAATCAATTTCATCCTCAACTTCTAAAACATTTTCAGACTTTTTCTTATCTAAAAAAAATATTTCAAACATTATATAAAAATAAATTACACAACAAAATAACAAAATTATTACCTTCTTCTTCACTATCTATTTCTTCATCTGAACTGTCAAATGTTTGAATACGCTTTCTTTTGATATTTTGACTACTTTTTTTCTTCTTTCCACTATCCTTTTTATTTACTTTTTTTTTAATTTTTGTTTCGTGTTCATTTATATTTTTCTTTGAAGGCTCATCGTCTATTTTAATATTATTTTTTGGAAGATTTTCAGTTAAAATTTCATTATCAGAAATAGTTTTTATATTATCTGAATTATTTGATTTTTGAAAATTATTGGAGAAAAGTGAATGAGTCTGAAATTTAATTTTGAAAAAAAAACAGTAATTTTTTTAAATTAATAGTTTAACACCGTAGAACCAACTTACATTTTTTGATGAAACTTTTTTTTCTTTTTCTTTTATTTTAGCATTCTTGCTTTTATTAACAAATAAGTCCATTCCAGTTTTCTATAAATAACAATTAAATAGTAAATTAGAAAAAAAAAATAAATTAAATATAAATACTACTTTTTTCTGTGTTTTGTCCAATATAGTATCAACTTCTGTTTCATTGCTGTGATTTGGAACTTTAGTAGCTGTCAAATTTATTTCAGCAGCTGAAGATAAATCAATTTCCTTTTCAATTTCATTATTTTGTTCAGGAATAGATATAATTTGTTTTTCTTTCTTTTTAATACTTGAAGGCAAAGTAACATAATTGTCTATTGAGCTGTCTATTAAATAAAGAGCATTGTTGATATCATCAAATCTTTTAACTGGTTGAATACTATAAATATGTTCAAAATTAATAAGTTTGAAACGGCGGCGTATTGTTTCAAGATGATCATCATAAGCTATAATCATGCAAAACTCGTCATTTTCTTTGAGTACACCACCAATAATGAAAGTAATAGAATATTTGGTATCATCTACAAGTGAATCCACATAATCTTGTAGCATTCTATACACAATAAATGAATGACATTAATAATGTTAAATTGCAAAAGTTGTATTATAGTTAAAAGAAATTAAAAAAAAATTTTATTATTATGTTCTCTTAGAGTTTATTAACTATATTAAGGGGAATATAAGAAATCAAATGATAATTGAAAAATATAATTTTAACTTAAAAAAACTTATTTAAATATATAGTATTGATTTGAGAATACATTTCTGATCATTAATTAATTTTACATAACTCCTAGGTATATAAATAATTTTCATTATAGATTATATAATTACCTTATTATTTAATAAAAATTTGTTAATATATCCTAGTATATTAGATATGGAACTGTATTGATGATAATTTGTTCTATATTGAATTTTTTATGTAATTATTGTTCTCAAATCATTAAACCTTATATAATTACATATAAAAAAAACTTTTACGTTTTATCAAGGAAGAAATAGCTAACAATTTTTTTAAAGCTTAAGGCTGTAAGTTTTACATTATTAAAACTATAATTTAAGATTATGTTTTTTGATGAATATGTAAACATTTGAATCATGAAGAAATTCAATAATCAAAATTGAACTTAAATTAAAGAAAAAAAGAAGGTAGTGAGTAGTAAATACAAATATTTTAAACAGAAATTTGTAAAATCTATGTTTTAATATTACACTGGTTGAATTTAACATTTTACAAATTTTAATAAACCTGCTTCATTTTTAAAATTGAATAATACAGATAATTTGAGAGTAATAGTAGATAGTAGGATTTGTAACATTAATAAGTTTCAATTTTGTTTACTCATATCAGCGATTCCCAACATTTTTGAGTTATGTATTTCCAATACAAAAAAAAAAATGTAATTATGCCTCCCATGAACTGATAAAACGAAATTTTTTATTATTTAAATATAATTAAATTAATGTTGATCTTAAAATAAATATATGATAATGTAATATACAATATAAATATTTGCCTTGCACCTCCTCAATAAGTGTTTGTGCCTCCCAAGGGAGGCATGTTTCACAGCTTGGGATTCACTGACTTATATTGTTCATATACTGCTTATAATCGACTATAATAAGAAATTATACATACTTTTTGGCTTCATTTGGATGAATATTCAATTTTCTAGTCAGAAATTTATATGTTACCTGCAATTGCATAATATTTAATATTTATAACACATTATAAAAAAAAATGTTATAAGCACTAACATACTGTAAACAATTTAGGCTACAAATATTCATGTCATTAATGATTCAAACATTATTTCGAATAAGTAATATAATTAATAGAAATTCAATTTTTTTTTTTTTTTTTTAATAAGTTTTATTAACAAAAGAAATGTTTATCTTCAAAAATTTATCTACAAAAATATGGAATAAACATTTGTAAAATAGCCCTTTACTAATGAAAAAATAATGAATAAATAATTAAAAAGAAATCACACTATACTGAACATAAAATACATGAAATCTCAGAAGGTTATTAATGATTTATTTTACCTAACCATAAATATTCTGAATAAAGTAAACATGGAAATGCAATGTTTGTAGTGAAAAATAGATGAATATCATAAACAGTACTAATTCATTATTTCATTATGGTACAATAGGAGTGAAAATATTTATAAAATTATTTAATGCGAAAATAAATATTCACCCACTAATCACCTATATTTAAATGGATTTGTTAAGAGAACCGAATGCCTAACATACAGGAAACTCAATTTGATGTACCGCATACGATAAGTACAATACAAATACAAAAGCAAATGCCGTGAGAAACATTTGAATGGCATAATATTTTCAACAAGACACAGTTAAGGTGCACGTAATGTAACGACCGATAGTTGTATAATAATAAACAAGGAATGATAATACTTACAATTTGTTGCTTGATTTCAAGCTGATCTTCAATAATATTGACCATTTCAGTGATAAACGAAATAATAATAAAAACAAGTGTAGTCTGAAAAGCAGCGACTATGAGAGAAATTCGAATTCAAAATTGAACTTGTGGATCGATGATAATTAAAGATAGACAATAGATCTTAAATTTGCTATCAAACCGCGAAAACGCATTGGTCCGACGGACGATATCAACGCATTCGTGCTTGTATTCTCGGTGATAGTAAAATGCGATAACTGTTTTCATGATAGTGTACACTGTACACTGTTCAGGAACTATTGGGAAAGAATACGGTTTTCATATGTATGCTATTTTACCATTGGCGCACAGAGTTAATTTGCGAGCAAATGCAACTAAAAAAGTTAAAGTTTTTTAAAAAAAAAAAAACGTTCTTCTAAATTGTTGTCTGTAACTGTAATTAACTCTTAAGATAACTATAAATTTAAGACATTCAGATTTATATATATACCGTGTAGGTATAATGTTTGTGTTATAATAATAATGTTATGTGCTTACCATACTCCATAATGTTTGGTATCCAAGTTGTCCAATTATATACCCACTAACCCACCACCGACGAGAGCATATGCAATTGCACCCCTTGGTAACCTATCTAGACGACACTGTATTATACTATCGCAACACCTTTTCTTTTTTTTTTAAGCCGACAATACACACGCCATCTGGAACTAGCCGATAAGGTTATGTAACAGGTGGCGGGTTGCCATAATTAATTTAGTGGATGCAGGCCTAATAAAGTACCTATTATATTTAACAGTTTTGGAATACTACATATTACGTCATGCCATAAATGAATTATAATTAATAGCATCAATGGCATTGTGTAACACAATAGATCTTATTGCACCTACGACCTACATTGCATAAAGTTAAATATTAAGTTAATTGGGTTTCAACTATTAAAAAATCAAAATACGAATTGCCGCGCATATTTTAAACAGATATTGCTTGATAACAACATGATAACGACTGCATAATGATAACAATATTGTGATGGTAAACGGGTAGTATTTATAAAGATCCCCCTTAAAACCTCAAAAAATGTATCACTTTCATCGAGATAAAGAATAAATTAATAATGACAAAATGAAGGTTATTCTTTATCTCGATGATCACTTTATTCTCAGTTGACAAGCTCAGTCGACAAACGTCCTATCCATTCATTTAATATATAGGTCGGTGTACGTTCGATTATCGATTATTTATCATAATTATCACGCGAGTTTTGCCGCCAAAACGACAATGGTACCCGATCCCGCCGCGTTAATCTCAATACGTCGGCCGGCATCTCGGAAGTCCCGGAACGTTCGACCGGTCTGAGAACGAATAAAGATCTTGCTAGCATCCGCCACAATAACGGGTGTCCGTTCGTCCCGCAGGTGAGTAACACAGAGGCCGCGGAATGGACGTTCGAGAACGGCGTTTCAGTTCATGTTCGTTGTCACGGTTTAACCGCAGACTGTACATGGATTCGTGTGGTCTGCGGTTCAAACGGCAATCGTGGAATAACGTGCCGGATTCGAGTGTTGGACTGTCTGCAGTGGTTGTTTTCCCGTTGTGATTAGTGACCGACGTCATCAAGCCGGTATCCGGTTCACCGGTGGTGTTGCGTTCGCATTGTGGGGGGGGGGCGAACGGGACCATTTTGCCCTAGGCCTCACTGTTAGAATATTTTTTAGGGGGACCCGTAAAGTCTTGAAGTATAATAATTAATAATAAAGCCTCGATTACAGTGAGCAATTTTACGCACTGCTTGTCGGCGATTAAAGTCGAGACTTGTCCGATTACATTTCGCGATTAAATTATAAATAGTAGGAATAATATTTAATTCTTTTATATAAGTATGTAATGCAGTACATGCGTTTAAATGAGCTTGATTGGTTAAGGTTTGGAAAAATACATTTGCAAGAATTTTGTTATTCTCGGTGAGTATTTTGTTAGGATATATTTTATTATTATGGACGAAGGGCCCATAAATAAATTTGCTTCTGGCCCCAAAAAACTTTGGGACGACCCTGGGCGGGAGGTCCCATTCCGGTTGACGACGTCGTCGGACGCGCGCACCGTGAATTGTCGTGACTGCAATTAGTTCACTCAACGATAGTTTCCCTAACCCGTCCGTCGTCGTTCGCTATTAAACGGTCGTCCGTTTTTGGTTTTTTCAGATCTGCGAAATGCCCCGTGGAGATTCGACGCATCGCTCGTAACAGTTTGTATCGCGTTGACGGAAATAAAATCACCTAAATAAATTCCGTACAACCGTAAATAAGTTCGCCAATATGTTCCGTTCGAACCCGTTTTTTTTTTTATAGTTATGAAATCGCCCTTGGTGCTGGATGTCCGAATGATACACGCACTTTATATTGTCAGATCGGTAGATTTTTACTGTTCGCCGAAGAATGTCTATGGCTAATTCCTATATTATTGTTATGTAGTCAACACTATTCTACTACCTAGACTAAAAACCGGGTTCCTGTTACATCCTATAGGACCTATTTTGATTCCAAGTCACTACCATTTCTCTCATTATCCTAATAGCCATTCAACCTTTGCTGTTCTTACTGTAATTACCTTGTTATCAACATCACTTAAAAGTTTATTTACAAAGTCTATTGTTTCATTATAATGATTTAAATCGATCTATGTATGTTGTCAATATTTTAATGTAAAGGTCTTTTTTTCTTATAAATTTAATGTATGCTAATTTTTGTTTTGAAACTAGATTTATATAACTGCTGAATTCAAAATGAGTATTTCTCAGTTAGAAATAAGCACTCGTGCAGCTAATGTGGCGAACGGTTTGCCGGATCCAACCAAACCATTTTCTTCATTTATGAAATTTAATAAAAATGATCTCAATTTAACAATGGATTTTATTAAAGCACCTGCTATGACTTCTTTGCTCAAAAAGGAAATTTTTTCTTTGATTAAAGAAAACATGATGGAAATATATAAGAAGTGTCCTTGGGGATGGAATGAAAAAAATAAACGCTTGGAGTTATTTCATAGAAAAGCTAGGTAAAAATAATCATGATTTAAAAAAAAAAAAATTTCTTGTATGCATAATATAATTATTTTATAAATAATATGAAAGTATCATAACTAAAAATTAACAGGTGTATAACATGCTCTGAAGCCACGATAAATTAATAAATTATTTAATATATATTGTAGGTACATTGTAGTTCGTCACTCAAGTAATAAATCTCTCGCAGCTTTTGTGCATTTTCGATTCGACATTGAAGAATCTATTGAAGTCTTGTATCTTTATGAAATCCAACTTGAAAAAAGTGTGCGCAAAAAAGGTCTTGGACGATATCTCATGAGTCTTATGGAAACAATAGCATTTCACTATAATATGAAGAGTATAGTACTAACAGTGCTCAAAAGTCAAGAAAATGTTATGAAGTTTTATTTTTCTCTACATTATGAAATTCAATCACATTCACCAGATGATGAATTTTATTATATACTTGGTAAAAGTAAAAAAACTTTAGAACTTCATAATGAACAGTAAAATTGATTAAAAAATGGCTCTTAATTTATAATAAACAATTTTATTTCTTCATAATTAATTTATATATTATCATAGTTTAATACTTAGGTTAGGTAACATATTTTTTGTATCATTATTGCTACAACGATAATTCTTAACTTTTTTTGTAAATAACATACAATTTTTATAATAAAATTATTCTTATAATACATGTTTTTTTTTTTTTTTAAGAATAGAGAAATTAAGAAATCACAACAAACATCTTAGGAACTTACATCTATTAACAACCTATAACAAATACTGAATTGTAAACATTTGTAAAACAAATACTAGTATTATATACATCTATCATAACAATAAGAGTTACAATTTAATAATTATATATATGTATCCAAATTATGAAATTAAGTTAAAATAAACAAAACCGCTATTATTCAAGAAATATAAAAATACTAGATTTATCTAAATAGTAAGGTACACACATTTCAGGGGGGAAAACAAAAATAAAAATTTATAAAATATATATTAACTACATAAAAATAATACACTTTAATATTTTTTGTTCATTAAAAATTTAATGTTCGAATGTAATACAAAGTTACTTTGGAGTTAAGAGAATATTTTAACAATTAGAAGATGCTACATAGATTTTAGTTTGTTCATCTCTCAAAGTATAGTTAATAAATCATGTTAAGTTTATTTTAAACTGTTTTTTCCATATTAATATGTTACTGATTATTTTATTAATCTACTATGTAATTATAATCAAAGCAAAATTTTATATTTTAATACAAATTTTCTATACTTAAATAAGTTGTGATTAGATTTCTTAAATAAAATATAAAATGTTTTCTTTAAATTACATAATAGACTGATAATATAATTTTAACTCAGAAACAACAATTTGATATTGGAATAAACTTAACAGAATTATTATGGTATGTATGTTATAGACAAAAAAAAAAAAAAATGCATTGTCTAACTGTCTTAATATAATAAAATAAAAAATTCTTACTAAATTTATAATTTAGTATGTTTAACATTTTCTGTCCAGTAATTTTGTATGGTCATGGCTTCTAAACTATTTAGAAAAGAATCATTGTCCAAACTATACATTTCATCTGAATTTTCCTGTAATGTAAAACATTTTAATTCAATTTTAATATAGCAATATAGTTGGTCTAGTTAAGGTGTAAAATAAATTTTCAGCACATTTTATAGGGCAAAATTAAAATTGTAGTGTTTCTGATATTTTAATATTTACCACATATTGCTACTTGTTACAAAATTGTATCTAATCAATATATGTATATACATAATATTTTTAATGGTTAATCGACAATACAGTTATTTATTTATTTCATAAAATAAATAAGTCATTTATAAAATCTAACTGCTGTGTATCTAATAATAATTACTATGAATAATCTCAATAAAAGAGAATATCATTCATATTTAATAATAAAATAATAGTATTATTTTTTTAAACGTCCATTTTATTATTTTACTTAAGACGATGTCACATCAGCATATTTAGTCTGTTTTACTAACATAAATTTGTACTTAGTAGTTCAAATATGTGTTGTTTGCTTTAATATTAAAGTAAACTGATCCTTTATCAAACGCAAAGAGAAAAACATCATCTTTGTCAATTTTTTTACAATATTTTAAAAAGATAAATCAATAAATATAGATTATTTTTCTCTCTCTATAATTGATAATAGGTCATTTTATTTTTACTTTTGTAAAATAAAGACAACATGCAGGTGTACCGTTTTATTAAATTTTACAATTTAAGTTTACTTACTTTAAACATGTCATCTAAATATCCAATAGAGTCTGCATTGCTACAATGATCTAGTGCTTGAGGAGTATTCCATCTACTTCTTTTGTACATTATATAACCTAAAATTACTTTAAATAAAAAAAATATATAAACAAATATATTTATAATGTATATAATATAATATTAGTTTAAGTAATATATATACATTTAGTTGATAATATATTATAATTGTATTCATAATTATTGATCAAATATTTATAAAAAAGTTATGTTGTATTTTAAATATTTTTAACTATTTAATAAAATCTAAAATGTGATAATTATTTTTTTAAAATCTAATCTAGGATTAGTGTCCTCTTATTATTATTATTGTTGGGTATCACATACAAATTTTAGAATGATTTACAAGTGGTAAGATTGGTAAACATCAAATTAAGTAGTTGGATATTAATAGTATAACAAATAACATTTAATCAAAATATGAAAATAGGAAAACATGTAATTGTTTATTTATTATTAAATGTATAATTTGATAATATTCAATAAATATATTGCATGTTTCTAAATATTTACTGGAAAGAGCGAAACAAGTAAAACAGATAAGTCAAAATTCAAACAAAGAAAATAAATATGCCATATATTGCAGTGTTTTAGATTTAAACAATTCAAACCCAATATAAATTATATCAAACAAATAAGATAAAATTTGGGTGATGAGAATAATGTTATGCAAATAATAAATACTGAAACTTTAAATAAGAAATTAGAACATAAAAATGTTGAATTATTGAAATACTTTAACAATAGTTAAATTAGTCTAAAGATTTTATTCGACTTAACACTTGATGGAAAATCTATAAACAAACAGTTGAAGTTTGTATATTATGTACAACCTAAATTATAATATGATATAAAAATATGATAACAAAGTCGGAAGCAATCTACCATGATTTCAAAAATATATTTAGCCAATCATTTTTAAAAATATCATTAAAATATAAATTATTGACAGTTAATAACTGTGTTAGTAGCTCTATAACTTAATCTAGTAATTGTTTAGTACATTATTGTTTTTATAATAAATAAGACCCTTATAGTTAGCGATTAGTACAACAATTATGAACTATGAAAAATTATTTAAGACATAGTTACCTAAATTAAATTATCAATTTTAGGTCAATTTAAGTTGATTATTGTGATGTATCTAATGGATTTTAGTATTGTGTCTAGTGAGTTTTGTTTTTAAATATACAACTAAAATGTAAATTAATGTTAAATACCAAATGATATGATAATCACACAGCCTGCAAGAGAAGCTCCTGATATCAAAACAAAATGAGAAGTCATATAATTTGAAAGCTCGGGCAAAGATGTGATATTTGTGTACGTGTCATTAAACCCATCAATAGCATCTGTAAACAATCATAATGAGTGTTGGTTTTTTTTAACATTATTCCTAATGAAATGTAATATACACATACTTGTTTCGTTTTGAATTTCGTAATGTTCTTTGAAAACCAAATTATCATTGATTTCCGTAGAATTCTCTGTTAACAGAACGATTTGAGATTTATTGTTCAGTTGCACATTGTTAACGCTTCCTGCGACGGAAGGTGTGGTTTTTAAATCTTGTGTTTGCGTACTGCGACTGTGACGGATCAGACCGTACGCAGGGAATTCGTTGCTGGACAACACAGTCGGTAGAATACCTGGACGGAAAACAAAACGGTCAAAATGTATGATTTTTAAGATCGGATAAACGCACGCAGCCGACCGGTGTACCTTTTACGTAACTGGAAAAACATATGAAACAAATTAAGTACATTATGTTGACGTTGGGAGACGAATCATTTTCCGAAAATTCATATGCGGCGACCCGACGACATTTCATCAGAACTCGGGAAGCGGTAGGAGACCGACGATCATAACGCGGTGCGTGAGCCGATCAGGAGATTGAAACCGTTCAGCGGGACGATCATAATATATTTGGCGTTGCACTTCGCACTCGAACTTCGGTTTAGTCGTGCAGCAACGTTGCAGTCGAACGTTTGGTTATTGATTGATAACAAGTTATTGTTTACCAAGGTGGAAATACACTTTGTTGTTTACACTCCGGTGGTATTGTTGTTGTTGTTGTCGTCGTCGCGTACGGACCGCGATAACAACGCGAGACGCGCACTGATATGACGTACAGCGTCTTTGGCCGTCGTGCACCGGAATACGCGACGCGGTAAGTTGGGTAACTGACCGACTCCGGCTACGCAGTAGATATGGGATTGATCGTTCACCTAGGCAGTGGCGTATATAGTGCCTAGTGTGCCACATCATACGTCCGTTGTTCATAAATACAGGATTAAATTTACTATAGGAAATACGTAAATAATGTGATTAGTTGAGACAATTTTTATTGCCTTTGTCAAATAGTCTTGGGACATTCTGTAAATGAAATGTAGATAAGTACCTACTGTATTTTGTTGGTAATTCTTAGACAGCAGTGGTAATTTAATTCTGTTCATAGTAGCCCCTCCCGAAAATATTTTCTGTGTACGCGACTGCACCTAGGTGAACAATTCAGTCGTTCATTGTTCACTAAAACGAACTGGTTCAAGACCCGTTCCTCGTTCGTATTTATTACAAATCGTTCATATTTATTATCGTTCATCGTTCATCGTTCTCCGTGTCGACTATCAACGATACGGGGAACAAATCGTTCACATAAATGAACGGTTCGGTGATTCAGTCTTTTCATTGTTCATATTATGTAATGTATTACGTAGTGTACATACACGGGTATATGAACATGAAAAGGCTTTGAAGATGTTTGTTCATGTTTCAGATGTCATTATATTTATTTTTTATTTTTGTTTTTATACATTTTGACATAAAGACAAGCGTATATGTGTTTAACTACTTTAACTATTGTAGTATGTATCGGTTAGACAGTTGAGTAAGTCGAGTAAAAATGAGCAAATCAATTTGAGTAACATGGCATGGATATTTTTCAATTAAAAATGAAACACATAATATAGTGAACTAATCAATCCGAACGTTCACAGTGAACGGCGGTGTACAGTGTATAGTGTATAGTAATTCATGATGTGAACGATACGAACGAAATGAACGATGAACGACTCGTTCATCTAAACGTGAACTATTTCATATTGTTCACTATAGTGAATAGTTCAATCGAACTAGGTCGTTCATGAACGACACATCTTTACTACACAGTTAATTTTTAATGTTCCGACGACGTTCGCGAAGAAATATTAAACGATATATTAAACGATTCCGGTCGCGCTCCGGACCTGGGGAGTTCAGGAGGTCTGCCGACCCGCAGTCGATGTTCGTCGACCAAGTCGACCTGTTAAAGACTTCTCATACTTATCAAGTGCGCCGACTACGAGTCGAAGTCAATACTCTGCAGTGGCGTATTAATCTGCGAGCACGTGTCTACAGCGGTAAATCTGAAGAATGTTGTCAATCGGTAACGAAAACGATTCGAATCTTAAGAAATTATCTTTTACCGTTTAAATAAAATTCGTTTTGTGTACTCGGCTAATTAATATTATATCTCGTAGTTCACGATTAAACGATAATGCACTAATTAATGCGATGTACTGTCTTGGGTATTTAGAACGGTGATTTTTCACAGGCCTACATGCGGGAAACATGTAAATACGCGTCCCTTGGTGTATTTACAACTTTCGAAAACCGTCGGTATTCATTAATGTAGATTTACAATTATTATTATTATTATAATCTTTTTTTTTTTTGAGCGCTTTGTTTTTAAAATTGCTGTAAGTATAAAAAATAAACGAAAATTTATAAATGTAAGTATAGAATACCTGCTCTTTTTTTTATTTGCTGTTGCATTTCTTCTTCTAGCTTTTTATGCATCAATTATTGTTTTTCATTGTTAAGGTAATTAACTAATCATTATATTTTAGTTTTTCTATTGATTCTCACTATTTATGTTGATACAATGATTCGGTCCGTGATGTATGAAAATAATCGAAAGCAGGATAATACACGTATCCGTATATCTATTTTTTTATGGCCTGGTGAAATGTCAAAATGGTCTGTTTGATGAAACCTCGCACACCCAAAAAATTCTAAAATAACGCCCTTGGTTTTCTAAGATAATGAACACATGATCATATTGTGTTTTTTCGTTACAAGGTATACACTTATAATCCAGTTTTAGGTCTAAAAAGTTCTCTAACTGTAGATTAGCCCCTGGCTCCGAGGCACATGGCCAGTGGTTGTTCGATCGTGCACGCGGTAGAGAACAGGAAGCGTACCAAGAGGCTCCATGCATAATTTCCACATCAAAATCAACGATCTCGACGTGATTTTAACTACTCCGACTATAGGTTTTAAACATTCGAAAGAATTTGAAATGTTGCTGTGGAACTGGCCGTCGCGGGTGATCATAGAAGTTGGGGACGGATGCAATAAGCATGTAAACAACGGTAAATGAAATAAAATCCGTACGACTCGCAGTATTCAGTTATGTAACCATATTATTTCCACTGTTTGACGTATGTTCTAGGCAGTGCCGTCTTATGGAATAGCCTCAAAAGGCCCGATTTTGGAGTTCCAGAATTTGAAGCATCTAAAATTTATAAAAATTACATTATATTTATCAATAATATCTTAATTTTATATTTTTTCTTTAAATTTTTTTTTTTTAATTTTAATGTTTTTAAACTTTTCTTCATAATAATAATAATTGATGTGTTTAAAAAATATATGTACCACGATTTATGTACTTAAAGTCCCCCGATGTATATTAGACCCCGAGGCCTCATATCCTATAAACGACTCTGGTTCTGGTCATTGTTCTGCATTGACGGATTTAACGGGATACGCAACAGGTGAATTATACCGGGCTTCGATGTTTTAGGATTTATCGTTAGCTTCAGATTTTATCATAAATATTAATTGTTCAGAAAAATATATTCATGAAAATCTATTTATGACAGAAAAATGTTTTCATTTCGGAAGTATTCATACCTACCATGAATTATATTTTTCCTTGTTTGTTGAAAGTAAAATTAACAAATAGAAATTTTATTGTGTATGTGACCTTTTTGAACAAAGAAGAATATACGTAAAAAAAAAAATTGACAGGTTGTTAAATTGTTAAGAATCTAATCTTAACGTTGTTTCGGTTGTTATGATTCAATTTGGATTTTTGCTATTCTATTATGAGCCTAAGAGTATCCGTTTGGCCAGGTTATTTTCGAGATTTAGATCTGAGAACAGTACTCACCAATACACTAAAATATATTAGGAGTTGACACCCCGATATTATTACTTTGTTACACGTTGCTACTGAATTTGAGGAGTACTTACAACCTAATTTTTTTCTCGGTATTCGAATTATTTAAATTAAACGCTTTAATATTTCGTTTCTAAATTTATAGATATTATTATAGATCGAAATAAAATGCAAATATTTAATAATATTATTAACACAGAGAAGATGTTATATTTGGATAAATTTGAATTCTTAATATTTATTATAATGTTTAACGCCATATGATTTTTGCTCACTATCTAATATTCCGTTTTGCTTGACTTAGTTCTTTGTTTTAACACAAGTATAAGTGTTCGCGCTGTATATATTGTTTGTGTAAAATTTGTTCATGTCATCATTTTCGTGCGATGCGTAGCGGCGCGTTGCGTATTCGCGGCCCTCGTCGGCGGCGGTGATAAGCCTCCGTGTGCGACCGGCCGGATACGTTATCGCGCTGTTATCGTCGCACGTTAATGATTGTTATTCCACGTTTTCAAAAAACTGTCGGTTATGTTTTGTAAAAGTTTCAAATCATGCTCTCAGTGCCACAAAGTTCATTGATTTCGAGTGTTTTTCTATTTTTTGTGGTGGCACTGGGGCATTTTATCTTCATTGTGGTGTCCGGCGGCCTTAGCCTTCGTGGTGAATGTCGTCGGACCCATCTCGGTCTTGTTTTTCTGTTTTCGTGGTGTGGACACCGAAATTCATTTTTGTTAGTTTTTCGTTAAATTCACGTTTTGTTGCTGTCTTCGTTGGTGATTGTGATTCGCTGGTCGCACGTACCAGACTGTGACATTTTTATTTGTATAATTTTAAACACTGCGGTGTGCCGTCTAAGGCAATTGTAGTCATAGTTCTGGTGCGGTCGCGTCGGGATAAAATCCGCCACCAATTACAGTCATCACATGTGAGTATTGGTCGACCATATTTGTTTCATTGTGTTAAAGGCCGACGGGCCTCAGCCGACATAGGCACATTATATTGTTATTATATTATTTTGCATTAGCCGACATAGGCACATTATATTGTTATTTGTATTATTTGGCATTAGCCGACATAGGCACATTATATTGTTATTTGTATTATTTGGCATTGCCGTCGTAGGCATATTATTGTTATTATATTATTTGGCATTGCCGTCGTAGGCATCTACCACATTATTGATATCATTGTATTATACATTTTATTCATACACTGCGGTGTGCCGTCATAGGCAAATTATTATTATAAATTGAATTATTATTTTTTGGTGTGCGCCTTGTGGGCCACATATCTCATTTCATTTATTTTATTTATTTATTTAATTTATCTATTTACTATATTATTGTTACCATTTTGTTTCTTTCTTGTTGAGCCAAACAGGCTACATTTGTGATATTTATATTTTATAGCTTTTATTATTATACAGTCCACTACCCACACTATTTTATTTTTTGATTTATCCTGCTTATTATTATATTGGAAAAAGGTAACACTGTTTATTACTTGCAGTGACCCGGTATCCTACAATAAGAATAAATGGAATTAGTTCATATGTGCTACAGATATATAGGTATAGAACAGTACCCTTATCCCACTACGAAATATTTTTGAACCTATAATTATAGTTAAGCTTAAACTATAAAGAGACTACTTAAGAATATGGGGTTTTATGTAACTATTTATTTTGTACTTATTAAATTAATAAAAGAAATAATCAACGACTAAAGAACAATATAAGTAATATAATTGATTCTTCGACGCTATGTTTTCTCACTTTGGTCTACCTACTTGAACAAGTTATCCGCGAATTTCGCTTCTAGATTTAAATCTATAGTTTCCGTTATACCAGATAAAGTATGGTTCAACGGTATCACT